GGCAGAGGCAGAGGCAGAGGCAGAGGCAGAGGCAGAGGCAGAGGCAGGCAGATCTCTGTGGGTTCAAGACCAATTTGGTCTACAACGTGAGTTCGAGGCCAGCCAGGGCTGTTACACAGAGAAATCCTGTCTCGAAACTCCCCTCAAAAAATAGCAATCACAATGACCAAAAGCAACTTGGGGAGGAAAGGGTTTGTTTCAGTGTAGCTGTACTCCAGCTCGCTTGCTTTCCTCCTCCTCCTCCTCTTCCTCCTCCTCCTCCTCCTCCTCCACTTCCTCGTTCTCCTCTTCTCTTTCTCCTTCTCCTTCTTTTCTTTTGATTTGTCAAAACAGGGTTTCTCTGTAGCTTTGGAGCCTGTCCTGGAACTCTATCTGTTGATCGTTGACCAAGCTGGCCTTGAACTCACAAAGATCTGCCTCCTGAGTGCTGGGATTAAAGGTGTGCGCCACCACCACTCCGCTCATTAGCCTGGTTTCTTATACAACCCAGGACCAACTGCCCAGGGTAGCATCACCCATAGTGAGCTAGGCCCTCCCATATCAATCATTAATTAAGAAAATGCCCCCACACAAGCCATTCTGATAGAGACAATTTCCAAATGAAAGTCCTCTTCTCAGATATGTTGAGGTTTGTGTTGACTTGTCAAAAAACACTAACCACTTGTCAAAAACCACTTGCCTTGAGTGAGAGGCAGGAGAGAGAGCGAACGTCTTTCTTCTACTTTCTCGAGTCTGATTGATTGATAGTGGCTATCTGTGTGGGCTACCCACCACACACAATGCAAAGCCATGTCTGTACTGAGAGTAAGAAGTTGAGGGGGACTGTATGCCACACCTGTCCTTTCTTGTATAGAAGAAAGCCTAAATAGTCTCCAGTCTTGTGCGCTGGGTTCATATGACTTACATACTCATCTTTCTGTTCATCTTCTCACACTTTTATCCTTGACTTCAGCTGTGTGGCTTGAATTATCAAGGCGGAAGTATGAGAATTGTTCTCCATTCCCTTTCTGTCTCCTTCCCGTTGTCCCTCTCTCCATCACTCTATCCAATCAACTCTCAGGGGTGACATTTGAGTCCTCTACTTGCTTCTCAGTTTCATCCATGGCCACTGACATCTACACATTCTAAGTGTTCTAGTACATTCTGTTGCTATGATAAACATTTCAGCTTATTCCAAGGTTGCAGTCCATCATCTGGGAAGTCAAGGCAGAAAATCAAGCAGAAATCTGAAGGTGGGCTGCTTGCTAGTCCATGCAGCTTCATCTCTGAACAGGAAACCCACATGGCCAAGTGCAGCAGTACCATGGAAGATGCCGCTTGCTGGCCAGTTGGCTCATACTTAACTACTTTTCTAATGTGTTCAAGTTCATGAACCTATGGGAGACATTTCTCATTCAGACCACCACAAGCCACCATACATTTGTACATGCAGCTATGCACACACATATGCATACACCACACATATCCATACACATGAAGGGTGGAATATAAGATGTGTGGATAACACTCAGTACAACAAACTCGGTGGAACTTCAGGTTCACAAGTTAAAGCAAAGCAAGGAAACCAAGAACACTGCAGAGGGTGGCTACCTGGGAATTCTTGGGACCACTTGATGGGTATTTGCCCCTGGGGAGGATTCCTCAGGGTAAATGCAATTGGCACATGGCTTCCATGTGGTACCTTCTAGAAACCTTCCTTTACCCCCGAGTCTTAGCTTCTGAAGCTTCTTGGGTTAGAGCTGCTCCCTAAGATGGAGCGAGGGTTGGAAAGATGACTCAGTTAAGCTTTTTGGCACAAAACCTGAGTCTGAGTCATGAGTTCCACAGTATGGAAGCAGAGACCTAACTCCCAAAAGTTGTCCTTTGACCTCTGCATGTGTGTCATGGCACATATCTGTGTATATGTGCATGTACATGTGTGCATGCACACACACATACACACATATGTGCAACTGTGCATGCACACATACAATAGATAAATAAAGCTAGAGAGAGTAAGCCAGAATGGCTTGGGAGTGACAAGTGTGATGTGGGATTCCCCTCTATATGCTATAAATATGTTTTATTACCATTGGTTATTAAAGAAGTTTTTCGGCCAATGGCTTAGTAGTGTCAAGCCAAGTGGGAAATCTGAGTGTATATATTATTGTGGGTATATTAAATTTTTTTAAATTTTTTGACTGTGAATAAGCCTAGTACAGAGCGATATTTCATTGTATGGCCTGCAAAGCTAAACCAAAATATATTTAAAAGGTATCTTGACTTCAAAATTTGGGTCTAAGGATATGATGCTTTGGAAAAGAGGTTCTGCTTTTGTCTCCTCACAGGATAGAAAGCTGTGAATTCCTTACCAGCTAATATGGTTTGATCAAACAAGAGCCCCTGAAGCAATGGTCCAGATGGTCCAACATCCATGACAGCGTCAGAACTGCTGGCTGAGATGGACCTACCACACAGCATACCCCATGAAAGGCCTGATTAACAGCACCCCCAATCAGCAGGAAGTAGTCTAGAGAACAATGCCCAAATTCCCTAAATGATTGTTTATAAATGTTTGTTTACATTTAAAGGGGGATATGCTATAGAGATGAATACTTTGCATTGATATGGATCTTAGTTTATTGATACAAATTTAAGGTCAATTTTGTTATATGTATATTTCTGCTCTTGATTAAGGCATTGTGTTTTTGCAGCTCATTTAAAAATGTAATGTATAATTAAGAAATACATACTAATAGCCATCTATAATAGTCAAGTTTATCGTCATATTAGTTAGGTTTTCTAGATATACAGAGATATATTTCAG